TAGTATTTGATGTGTTAATATAATAATCAGCTGACTGATGTCACATGACCAACCAAACCAATCTCCTGCTGTCGATCAAAGATGAGATGTGATGTTTTCATGACGGTGACGGCAGCTTGTTGTTGTTGTTGTTGTTGTTGTTGTGCTCGTGCTCAGACAGACTCAGTGGGGGGGATTAACAGCCTGTTTAATCCTCGTCTGACACATTTTTTTTTTTTATTTGTCACGTTTATTATTTTACATCTGATTCATTTGTTTCATTCGGTTTATTTTATTTTTATTTAGAATTTCATTAATTCGTTTGTTTCATGATTTAATATTTTATGAAGGTTTTTACAGTTTCACCAGATTCTATTCATATTTGTATTATTTGTTATGAGTGAGAAAATAAAACCTGTATGTTCGTCCTCTCTCGTCGTCGTCATCCTCGACCTCCTCGTCCATCCTCTGACGTCTCGTTTTTCTTCTCGCTGTTTTTTTAGGAGGACAGTGAACGTTACTCTCGACTCTCTCGGAGAAACACTTCGGTCTGTACCTGTCTCCTCTTCTTCCTCCTCTTCTTCCTCTTTCTCTCACCTGTCTCACCCTCAGTGACATCGCAGTGACATCACAATGGGGCGTGGTCAGACATACCTTGACAGTTTGTGATGTTTGTGTTTCAGGTGTCGGACGATGACGAGAAAATGTCCGTCTGCAGCCGAGGAAGCTGCAGGGTGAGTCACATGATCCTGAACGACAACAAACACGTTAACAACAAAATCCCCTGAATCATATGAAGAAAACTACGCACACATCCACATCCTGTCTTTATAGAAACATTAAGAAAATAAACAATATGAAAAAACATGAAATCTAAATTTTCTCAATATTACAGTTTGGATGAAAATGTTTAGTAGAAATATTTATCAAATATAAATGTACAAAATATGAAATCAAACTATTATTATTATAATTAAAACTGTTTACAGACACGTTGCTGCAACCCTTAACGTGTTTACGATCAAAGACACAAACTTTAATCCTTTAATCAATCGATTCTCCTACCCCCTTTTCCTCCCCACCCTCCCCACCCTGCTCTTCTTCCTCTCATCCTTCCTCCCCACCCTGCTCTTCCTCCTCACCCTCCCCACCCTGCTCTTCTTCCTCTCATCCT